TAGTCGTAAAATATATTTTTCACCAGTGTTTGTCATATCACGGTCGTGAAACTCCACAATGCTATATAATATTTCTTATTAATTTTTTTCGAATATTTTTAAAAGAATTACCATAACAAGCACTTGATAATTGCCAATGAGCAGTTTATGTGCTTCGCAAAAAACAAAAAATCGTTTTTTTCTCCAACCACAATTTTAACATCGCGTTTCTCGCATAGTTTTCCTTCTTCATAATATTGCAACCGAAAAAACTCATTCAATTTAATCTTGAGAAGCAACGTGTAGCCATACGCGAGAGAATTGCACAATTTCTGTCCCCAATTCCTTCGATTCTCTATGGATAACACAATAATTGTCTATTATTCACTCCTGTTAGTCTACCACATCTCATCAACCACCGTTAACCTCACACTACCAAAAGCCGAGTCGCAACATTTCCCAAAATTCAAAATAAGTTTGATTTTTTTCCGAATTTTCCCAAGAAAAAATACGTTCCTTACCACCCCATGAGCCACTTTGACCGCATTCCTATTATCATGGACCCATTGCCGTATACGCTCCCCGTTCTCCCTCTCCTCTATCGGGATCTCCTTAAACTTTTGTAAGGTCCACTTCATCGTAGGCTTACCCCCACTACTACTATGCACCTACAAGTCACAACAACTTGGCCACCGTGTAATAAAAATGAAGTAATACTCTACGAAAAATTCAGATATTCGCCGTGATATACAGTAGTCGTGAAATATGTACTAGTGTTTTCATATCACGGCTTGTGAAACTCCAATATACCATCACTATCAATTAGTTCAACAACATCTCACAAAATTACATGGAATATTTCATTACGTTATCAGCTCGCTACAAAGTATCATCAACAACCCCTTTAACACGTAATACAAGATCTCGGAACAACGATGTTACTCGCGGCCCGATCTACTTCAGTCCATAAACGCCAGTGTCGGGGAAAATATGCACATGGTAGCCTCGGTGATAATATGAAAACTCTGAGGAAATTCTCATTGGTTTCTATACACTTCTACTCGAATTCTATGATTAGTGAGAAAACTCCTGAGCTCAGGTGAGGAAAGCGAACATATATTCCTACTCCAACACTGTATAGGAAACTCCTGAGCTCAGCTGAGGAAAGCGAACATATATTCCTACTCCAACACTGTATAGGAAACTCCTGAGCTCAGCTGAGGAAAGCGAACATATATTCCTACTCCAACACTGTATAGGAAACTCCTGAGCTCAGCTGAGGAAAGCGAACATATATTCCTACTCCAACACTGTATAGGAAACTCCTGAGCTCAGCTGAGGAAAGCGAACATATATTCCTACTCCAACACTGTATAGGAAACTCCTGAGCTCAGCTGAGGAAAGCGAACATATATTCCTACTCCAACACTGTATAGGAAACTCCTGAGCTCAGCTGAGGAAAGCGAACATATATTCCTACTCCAACACTGTATAGGAAACTCCTGAGCTCAGCTGAGGAAAGCGAACATATATTCCTACTCCAACACTGTATAGGAAACTCCTGAGCTCAGCTGAGGAAAGCGAACATATATTCCTACTCCAACACTAATCTAAAGATGCACGTAACCATACTACTGCTATAATAATACCAAAAAATTTCCATAGTTTCAGAAGAAAAAAATACCAATTGACCTCTTATTACAGTAGCTCCGCCATGCCAGCTGAGAGGGTCGATTTGCCCATGTTCTCTCTGGTATAAAACATGCCAATCTCCCTTTCCTAGCTTCAACGTAACGCATCATCTGCCGTAGTTGCGCTTTGCAGCATATCTGAAATCTCACCATAGTGTGGTAAAATCTTCGCAGTGCGTAATGACAAGATACCCGCGACGACTCGAATTCCCTCAGGAGATTGATTGTCAACTTTATCAAGATGATCGATTCCACTTTTGAGGAGCATCTGGGCTCCCATCACCAACTCGGGACTGGTAGATTTTACCTGAGCAAAAATTTCTGCAAAAAAAAAGGAAAACCGCACGAAAATTGATAGAAATTGCTACGAAAAATGATGAAAATTTCCGAAAAAACTCATGAATAGTTTCGTTAAAGTCGAACTAAACCTGAGGAAAAGGATACTTATCATGATTCAACTTATAGACCTGACAGAAAATAACGCGAAAATTGAGGAAAATTTCAGTAAAAAAGAAAACCACATTAAAATTGATAGAAACTACCGCCAAAAATGACGAAAATTTTCGCAAAAAATGATGAATATTTCCGTTCAAGTCGAAAAAAACGAAAATTACCGGGAAAACAGTTTCGCCACCTTCCTCGACATCCGAAAGGTAAATGATAGCAGTGCAAAAACGAAAAGGACGATTACCATTGGTATCTACCCAAAAAAAATCTCGTGGGAAAAAACCAAAAAATTTGACCGCGCGCCACGAAATTATTACCAACATGTAGTCCCAAATGAAGTCGTTTTTCAACTCCATCCGAAGGCCGTTTGCTCGGTGGAGTTAACATCGCTACTAGAGGGACTTCACCATCGTGAGGAGGACATTGACATACCTCCCCTATACGCTCCTCGAGCTAAAAAATCACAAACGATTATCGCAACAGATTGACGTGACGTTTTAACACAGCAGTCACCATTATTCATGTGTAACAACGTTTTCCGGTTCACCTTGAGTAGCGTGATTCTCCGTGAAAAACGCGATAAGCAGTAATCGTGAAATATATTCTTTACCAATGTTTTTCATATCACGGACGAAACTCCACTATACACTATGAAATTTATATTCAACATATGCTCAGAAACCGCCCTTCTCCCTAAATCACCTTCCCAAGAAACTCCGCGTCCTCCGATACTATTTTCTCACTCTCTTTAGCTGGCAATGCAATTCTCAACTTATTCGTAAACACAGTACCTTCGCAGAAATACTACGCCAACAACAAGAACGCATTGAAACCGTTTAAAACTATACTCTCTTTCAAATGCGCTCTTTGAAAGCGATGGAGTTTCACCAGTTTTACGCGAAGTGGCGCAATACCCCATATGAAAAACGAGAAATATTAAGTGATTGAAAACACATCGCGAGTTACACCAGACAAATCACCTCATATTATCAGTGTTATACGCGTTATTCACTGTTAACATGTGTTTTTCGCGAAGTTAAATTTTAAGTATACTGTATTCTTCACTGGTATTTTTCATATCACGGGTGAAACTCCAACAATTAATACATGACTATTCGTTTGATAACTTTCCACTACTTTCATTAGAGTTTCACCCGTTTCCCGTGAAGTGACGTCATACAAAAACCGATATTCGCGGTGATATGCAGTGAAATTTAAAATATGTTTTCCACTAGTGAGCAATTCACATCACAGGTGAAACTCCACTATTAATCAAGAGCATACAAATCGTCAACTTATATTTATTACTATTAATGTCCATGAATAACCCCATACTACTACCTTCAGACTGTTTAAGGGACAGTTTCACAATCCTATCGCATTCCTCAGCTGTAAGGAAGTCGTCAAATATCATCAACAACGGCTCGTTCAAGGCGAAGGAAGACGGCTCGAGGGAAGACGATTTCATTAGA